TCACCGTCCCTACAAATATGTGGCCCTAGATTAGGATTGTATGAATTAGAATTGTAAGCCGCTCAGAGCCCCTAGGGGGTGAGCGGGATAGAAGCCGAAGGATTTTTTTTTTAAAAAAAAACAGCTCTGACAGAACTATGGCTTGCCCAAGGTCATCCAGCAGCTGCAAGTGGAGGAGTGGGGAATCAAACCTGGTTCTCCCAGATTAGAGTCCATGCACTTAACCACTACACCAAACTGGCTTCCTGGAGAGGGAGGCATAAGGCCATAGAGTCCATCCTTCAAAGCATCCATTTTCTCCAGGGGAACTGATCACTGCAGTCTAGAGATCAGTTGCACCACCAGGAGATCTCTGGGCCCCACCTTGAGGTTGGGAATCCTATCCCGGAAATGAATATTTACATCAGAAATGCTGGGAATCTATATATACAAGAGCCATGTGCAATGAAGGATGTAGAAAAAAGTAGAATTGTGCTAGACTGAATTAATCAACTGACTGGATCTAACCCCTTGTCTGTAGGTGGCCTGGTTTTATAGCTTTTGTCACCCATTTGGGTGCTGGCCCATTTTGCTAGTAGACATGGTGGTTGTTGACCCATTTCTTAAGATATTATCTAAGAAATCCCCCCCCCCTCTACTCGGCTAACCTTTTCCGCTTTAATCTTTCCATATCAGAGGACTCATTGCACACATAGAAGTACTTCACTTACAGTGCTTCCCTAAACATGGTTACCCCCATTGACCGATGAATTCATAAGAGTGGAACTCTGGCACTTAGAGCGACACTCTAAGCCTGTCAGAGGCCTGCCCATTTCAACAGGAATGAAAAGCCCATTTTGGAAAGGCTTGCAAGCTCTAAGTCTCATCTAGTAATTATTCCATATTTCTCGACTCTGGATTCTTCTGGGGCACCGGTTTTATTTCCTGACTGCACTGAATAAATTATTGAACGGCATTTTTACTGTGTTATCGAAGCCTTTCCATTGCTTCATGCAATTACAGTTTTTACTTTAGAGAAGTTAAATTTTCCAATTTCTTTCTGGACAGTGATTGTTCCCTGGGATGTATTTGAAGACTTTTTTTTCTACCACAGGGGGAAGAAACTTTTTTAAAAGTGTGGGTCATTATAGATAAGAGAATTCCTTCTTATTGCTTGGATGTGTTGCTGGCTGCCTTGAATTAACTGCTGCCGTACAATGTCTACGATCCAAAAAAACCTAAAGAGAATGATTAAAGAATGACTGAAGAGAACCTCTGCATCCAAAGGCAGTCAACCTCTGAATATCAACCTCTAACTATGAGTGCCAAAAAGTGACATCAGAGGAAGGCCTTGACCTCTCTGCCCATTTGTTGGCTCTCCAGGGCAAGTGGTTGGCCAATGTGTGAAACAGGAAGCGAGACTACATGAATCACGGGTCTGACCCAGCAGGACTCTTCTTCTGTTCTTTGGTAACTCTATAGCTTGTTTCATAGGGCTTTGGATTTGTGTTTCTCAGACACAGCCCCCTCCATTCCTCCTATTCAATATGGTAAACTATTTTTTCAAACTAAGGTGATACATACAAGAAGCTGCCTTTGGTCCATCGAGGTCAGTACTGTCTACTCATGCTGGAAGCAGTTCTCCAGGCTCTCTGGTGGGGGTCTTTCACATCACATCCTGCCTCTTCCTTTCAGCTGAAGATTCTGGGGATTGAACCTAGACCCATCTGCGTGTCAAGCAGCTGCTTTACCACTGAGTCATGGCCCCTCGGGGGTGGGGGACAACTGCACATGAAGTTGCTTTATACTGTGGTGGCTCAAGTGGTTAAGATGCTGAACTGCAGATCGGAAGGTCAGTAGTTCAGCAGTTCAAGACCCGAGTGCCGTGTGATGGAGTGAGCTCCCGTCTCTGCCCCCAGCTTCTGCTAACCTAGCAGTTCGAAAGGAAGGAATTGCAAGTAGATAAATAGGTACTGCTTCGGTGGGTAGGAAACAGTGTTCTGTGCGCCTCGGTGTCTAGTCATGCCGGCCACATGACCACGGAAATGTCTTCGGACAGCGCTGGCTCTTCAGTTTGGAAACGGAGATGAGCACCACATCCCTAGAGTCGAATTTGACAGGCTTTCAAGCAAGGGAAACCTTTACCTTTACTTACTTTTGGTACATCAGGTTCAGTACTGTAGACTGGCAGCAACTCTCTCAGGTCTCAGGCAGGAGTCTATCACATCACCTGCTGCCTGGTCCTCTTAACCTGGCGGAACATGCTCCCACCCAAAATCAGGCGCCCCCTGCGGGACCTTTTACAGTTCCACGGGGCCTGTAAAGTGGAGCTGTTCCGCCAGGCTTTCGGTTAAGGGGGCGGACGTACAACCATTTTGGCCTCCCCTGATCATGGCCCCTGAGCTCTCTCGTGGGATAGGGTGGGGTATAAAATAAAACAACAACAACATCTGGAGATGCTGTGGACTGAACCTGGGACCTTCTACGTGGAAAGCAGAGGCTCTACCACTGAGCCATAGCCCCTCTCCACTGTCAAGTGGGGATACGACAAAAGGCAGACTGTCCACTGTTTGCAGAAAGCAAGACATTTTTTTTACTGGGCATGCTCAGGATCCAGAAACATATTAGATCCTGGCCAACTTGTTCTGGCATCAGGGCAAAATTCAGTCCAAATCCTTTTCAACTCCTGATCTGATCCACTTTTATCTGGAAAGGACTACCACTGAGTTCAGTGGCGTTTACTCCCAAGTAAGTGTGTCGGAAGATCACAGAGCTGTCCATGCAGGAAAACGTGGCTCAATAGACTTTTTGTTCATTTAGTGCCAGCCACCGTATAGAGCAGTATGGGAACAGGTGAACAGGGCATGATTCAGACAAGTTAAAAATATTTCAGTGGCGCTGATTTCAGTGGGAACAATTTTCACGGGAGGAATTGTAGTGTACTGGCAAGTCGAATGAAATAACTGAAAGGTAAGTTAGAAAGCAAAAGCGGGGCCAAAATCTAAAATAAAATTTGAACTAGTTGTACACAAAGATACATGTATTTATCACAAAGAGATTTAAAAGCATATCAGGGCCCAACACAAGCCTCAAATATAGTAAAAAATAATAGGTGTCCAAGAAAAAACAATAGTGGCCTGGTAAGTAGCACAGATTAGGAAAGGGAAGGTCGGGATTCAAATCATGCTCAACCACAAAGCCCCACTGAGTGACCTCAGGCCAGTCTTTCTCTCCCCCCCCCACCCCACAGGCTTGTGATGGGAGGGAGGGCAGAACCACATACACTCTCCTGAGCTTCTTGAAGAAAGTCTGCAATAAAAAATTGTGGTAGAAACTTAAGTACTACTCACTTATCCTGCAATAGATACCAGATAAAAATGCTCTGCTTTGGTTGAACCATGCCTACAATGAAAGCATGTATAGCCTGGAGAAGAGACAACTCAGAGGGTGATATGATAACCATCTTCAAGTACTTGGACTGTCATATACGTGGAGTTTTTTTCTGTTGTCCCAGAAGGGTGGACCAGAACCTATAGGTTGAAATTAAATCAGAAGAGTTTTCGGCTAAACATTAGGAAGAACTTCTTGACAGTTAGAGCAGTTCCTCAATGGAACGCGCTTCCTCCGGAGGTGGTGGCCTCTCCTTCTTTGGACATTTTTAAACAGAGGCTAGGTGGCTATCTGACAGCAATACTGATTCTGTGACTTAGGTGGATTATGAGAGGGGAGGGCACGAAGGGTTGCATCAGTGCTTAGTTCTTGTGGCCCTTTCTTAGACGCCCAGGGAAATGCTGATTGCCACTTTGGGGTCTGGAAGCAATTTTTCTCTAGGCCAGTTTGGCCAGAAATCCAGGAGGTTTTTTGGCCATCCTCTGGGCATGGAACGGGTCACTGGGGGTTTGTGGGGGCAGGTATTTGTACATTTCCTGCATTGTTCAGGGGGGTGAAGGTCCCTTCCAACTCTATGATTCTGTATAAGAATGATCTCTCTCTCTCTCTCTCTCTGTCTGTCTGTGTGTGTGTGTGTGTGAAAGAAGCCAGAAGTATAAGAGAGACTACGGTGGAGGCAGACAATGGCCTCACATCCGAAGAAAGGCTAGAGGGTTCCTCAAGAGTATCCCAAGAGCATATTTCCTTCCCAAATGAGCTGGCTGAGAGTGAGTATCCATTACGGTTACGTCAAGGTAACAAGCAAGGAAGAGCCATCCAAGATTTCTGATTCACTTCTGAGGAACATTTGGTTTGGTACAATCATATAGCCTGCTAAGTAAGAAGGGACCAAGGCCTTCTGGGGTCCTGAAATCTGGAGTCTCCAAAACTCTTTTTGGGCAAGAGCTCAGTTGTGGCTCTTTAGGGGGTGAGGTATCCTTAAATTCTAGATACTCTGGGGAAAGGTGGAGGGGTGGGGAAGATAAGCACTTTAGAATGGTTTCATAGTTTTAATTTGTTTTTTTAAGTTTTAAACCGCCCTGAGCCTGCCTTGGCAGGGAGGGCGGGGTTGCAATCTAATAAAATAAATAAAGTGCTGTCAGTCCTTTCCTACTGCAGTCACATAGATGGCCTTTGGGCCCTACCAGTCTTTCCAGGCGCTAAGAGGATCTCTCTATTTCTTCCAGCAGACGATGATCAGAGGATTGAGGAGGGTGAAGAAATTCCTCTGCTAATGCCAGATAGAGTTAAAAATGAAGACCTGAAAGAAAATGATAGAAATCGAGGCAGATCTCAGAGAAAGAAAGGGGGCCATATGACTGAGAAGCGAGGTGGAAGAAGGTGTAAAGTACATTTTCCAAATCACAGGATAATGAAGGCAACTAAATACATTCAGTGTAGAAAGTACTTCAGAAATACTTCAGAAATCAATCACAGCTGCTTGTGCATCAAAGAATACACAGAGGGGATAAACCTTTTGCATGCTCATAGTACAGAAAGAAATTCAGTCAGAGTTGCACTGTTTGATGACACCAAAGATACCCACACAGGGGAGAAACCTCTTGAATGCTCAAAGTGTGGAAAGAGATTCAGGTTGAGTGGTAATCTTCAAAAGCATATGGCAACCCACACAGGGGGAAAAGCTCTTCAATATTCAGTATGTGGAAAGAGACTCGGTGAGGGGGCGAATCTTCACGAACATCAGAGAACCCACAAAGAGGAGAAACATTTTGAATGCTCAGTGTGTGGAAAGAGTTTCAGTCATAGTGGCTCTCTTCACCTGCACCAAAGAACACACACAGGAGAGAAACCTTTTGAATGCTCAGAGTGTGGAAAGAGATTCAGTCAGAGTGGGCATCTTCAAAAGCACAAGAGAACCCACACAGGGGAGAAACCATTTGAATGCTCAGAGTGTGGAAAGAGATTCAGTCAGAGTGGGCATCTTCAAAAGCACAAGAGAACCCACACAGGGGAGAAACCATTTGAATGCTCAGAGTGTGGAAAGAGATTCAGTCAGAGTGGGCATCTTCAAAAGCACAAGAGAACCCACACAGGGGAGAAACCATTTGAATGCTCAGAGTGTGGAAAGAGATTCAGTCAGAGTGGGCATCTTCAAAAGCACAAGAGAACCCACACAGGGGAGAAACCATTTGAATGCTCAGAGTGTGGAAAGAGATTCAGTCAGAGTGGGCATCTTCAAAAGCACAAGAGAACCCACACAGGGGAGAAACCATTTGAATGCTCAGAGTGTGGAAAGAGATTTGGTGAGAGTTGGACTCTTCACAACCATCAGACAACCCACACAGGGGAGAAACCTTTTGAATGCTCAGAGTGTGGAAAGAGATTCAGTCAGAGTAGCAGTCTTCAATATCATCGAAGAACCCACACAGGGGAGAAACCATTTGAATGTTCAGAGTGTGGAAAGAGATTCAGTAAGAATGGCAGTCTTCAATATCATCGAAGAACCCACACAGGGGAGAAACCATTTGAATGTTCAGAGTGTGGAAAGAGATTCAGTAAGAATGGCAGTCTTCAATATCATCGAAGAACCCACACAGGGGAGAAACCATTTGAATGTTCAGAGTGTGGAAAGAGATTCAGTAAGAATGGCAGTCTTCAATATCATCGAAGAACCCACACAGGGGAGAAACCATTTGAATGTTCAGAGTGTGGAAAGAGATTCAGTAAGAATGGCAGTCTTCAATATCATCGAAGAACCCACACAGGGGAGAAACCATTTGAATGTTCAGAGTGTGGAAAGAGATTCAGTAAGAATGGCAGTCTTCAATATCATCGAAGAACCCACACAGGGGAGAAACCATTTGAATGTTCAGAGTGTGGAAAGAGATTCAGTAAGAATGGCAGTCTTCAATATCATCGAAGAACCCACACAGGGGAGAAACCATTTGAATGTTCAGAGTGTGGAAAGAGATTCAGTAAGAATGGCAGTCTTCAATATCATCGAAGAACCCACACAGGGGAGAAACCATTTGAATGTTCAGAGTGTGGAAAGAGATTCAGTAAGAATGGCAGTCTTCAATATCATCGAAGAACCCACACAGGGGAGAAACCATTTGAATGTTCAGAGTGTGGAAAGAGATTCAGTAAGAATGGCAGTCTTCAATATCATCGAAGAACCCACACAAGGGAGAAAGCATTTGAATACTCAGAGTGTGGAAAGAGATTCAGTCAGAGTGGCACTCTTCAAAAGGATCTGACAACCCAAACAGGAGAGAAACCTTTTGAATGCTCAGTGTGTGGAAAGAGATTCAGTCTGCGTGGCAATCTTCACCAACATCAGAGAACCCACACAGGGGAGAAGGCTTTTGAATGCTCTGAGTGTGGAAAGAGATTCAGTCGGAGTGGCAATCTTCAACAGCACCAAAGAACCCACACAGGGGAGAAACCTTTTGAATGCTCAGAGTGTGGAAAGAGATTCAGTCACAGTGGCAATCTTCTACTGCATCAGAGAACCCACACAGGGGAGAAACCTTTTGAATGCTCAGAGTGTGGAAAGAGATTCAGTCAGAGTGGCAGTCTTCAACAGCATCTGACAACCCACACTGGGGACAAACCTTTGAATGCTCAGTGTATGGAAAGTTATTCTGTTTGAGTTTCCATCCTTAACAGGACCTACGAACCTACATGGAAGAAACATTTTGAGTGCTCAGTATGTGAAGAGATTGAGTAACAGTGGCAGTCTGCAATGGTATTAGAGAACCCACATGCTCAGAGTGTAGAGTTTCACTCACAATAGAGATAGATCAAGATTGGGTAGTCATGGTAGTCCTGAGAAACAAATCCAATTTTCATGTTCTTCAGAAATTCATACAAGAGTGAAACATTCCTATAAGCTGGTTCTGAAGAGGGCCTTCTTCAGACACCTAGGTTTTGGAGGTTCAGAAAGGCTCAGAAAGTAGTTACACAAAGGAGGGCCTTTTTAGTGATTGCTTTCTCTGTGAAACTTGCTGCTTCAGGTTATCTACCGATCTTAACTCTTTCTGACATCTACAAAACTGGGAAAAACATTTCCTTTCCGAAATCCTGTGAGGAAATAGACAAGTTGAGGGTAACAGATATCTACAGCCTCTCTGCTTCTGGCATAAACATAGTGTGACCAGCCAGCATCTTTAATTCATGAACATTTTTATCTGACAATCAGTTCTAGAGAGTCCTCATACAACCCTAATATCTCCCCAGTCCAGCCTGATGTGAGCTTTTTTGCGTGTCATCACCTTGAAGCCCCAAAATTTCTGGCAATAGGATTCTTTTGGGTTGAAAGGAAAAACCTTGTCCTCCATCCCAACAACACAGTAAATTCTAAGGGGCTAGACCCCACAACATCATCTAATATTGTGGAAATGGGCTGGTATCTGTGGAGTTGGCAGGGGAACCTTGTGGAACACAAATCCCCCAATCCCAATTGTCCTCCCCACCCACCCCCAGATTGTCTCAAAGAGAATCAGGAAGGAGAGGTAAAATTCTCTCTTCCTGCTCTGACACACACACCCCGCCCACCAACTCCATGAGCCAGAAATGACCTGGAGTAATCTCTGGGCCAAAACTTAATCCCAATTTCTGACTCCTCAGAGGTCCACTTGAATTCTTCCTTGGAGAGCATGTCTTTATTCAGCAGGCTGAGAAATTTCATCTCACTAATTTAGAGATGTCTCTGCATTCGGGCTGCTAACAGGCCTGAAGCGGGGAGGGAATCCTGCCTCTTTCTCAGAGGCTTTGTGTGTGGAAATGGGCATCTGAAGAGATAAATAACATCCCATAAAGCTCCTGTTAAAGGGAGAGAACACTTTTTTTTCCCTTCAGGTAGTTGGCAACCCTAGATTAAGTATTTCTTTATGAATCGGAGAAAACGAAATTCAGCTAAGGAAGGGTCATATCTCATTAAAGAGATTTTTTTATATAAATGTTTTTTATAATTTTTTACACACTTAAAGACAAAGAAACAAACAATGAGACCAATAGTAGCTTCATCATGTCTCTTAAATCACCCCAATAACAGAGTCGGACTCGACTGTCCGACTGAACAACAACAAAAATATTTAACAATCTAACCTTTTATATTTCTGTTCTATAAATCTAACTATATATATAAATAGATATCTTGAAATTACCTAATCACTTCAATCTATAAATTCCATTTCATTTCTAATAATAATCAAAAGCAAGTTTTCTCCTGTGTAAACTTTTTATACTAACCCTTTATAGACAAATGTTAATCTAATCATTATAGTGTTTTTATACGTACATTCTATAGGAGTCTCTATAATTATGTTTTCTCTGAACATTCTCCTCTAAACAACTTTATTCATGTGAGCCATTATAACCTGTACTTATAATCTGTATATTTTTTTCCCTTATTTCATCAGAAGCTAATATGTCATGTGTTTATAATGCTTTTCAACAAGTCTCCCAATCCTTTCAAATTAATTATAAACTATAGTTTAAAAATACCTATTACACCAAATGTAAGTTCAATTTATAATTGGCGATACAGTTTTCCCCAACCCATATGTTCCCCAACGAGCACTACGGTCCAGGACTAAACATCTCCTGGTGGTTCCAGGTCTCAAGGAGGCCAGATTAGCGGCGGCTAGGGCTAGGGCTTTTTCGGTGGCGGCTCCTACCTGGTGGAATGAGCTCCCAGAGGAGATCCGACACCCTGCGGGACCTTGCACAGTTCCACAGGGCCTGTAAGACGGAGCTCTTCCACCAGGCATTTGAGTAGGAGCCGCCACGAATGTTACCTTCTGTCTACGACTCTTATTATCTGTCCTAGCCCTTCTTTACCAACTCACCGTGAGCACTAAAATGGTGGTACTGCGTGGAGCTGTAGCCACTAAGGATACCATCCTGATGGCGTCATCTGTTCCCTTGTTAGGTATTGTGGTGAGCACTTATGTTGTATTGAATGTTTTTAAAATGCAGTTTTAATGTTTTATGTATTGGGCATTGGCCCCATCTGTATGCCGCCCTGAGCCCGTTCGTGGGGAGGGCAAGTTATAAATTTAAATAAATAAATAAACCCAAAAGCACAAATTCGCGAAGTCTTATTTGAAAAACTTTGTTCTTTTCTTCTTTTTATACTTCCATTTTTTCAATAACATCATCCCGCCTGTATTTTTCTTTATTATATGTATAGGGGGTCTCTTTTAGTAATTGTCTTCTCAGCTCAAGCTTTAAAGTGGTTAAAGCTTGTAATATTTCTGTTTCATCTTCTTTTTGAAATATAATTTGATGGGTTCCAAGATTTGTCAGTCTTTTAGTAGTTCTGTTGTTATTAGCTTCTGTTTCATCTCCTCTCTGTAGTATAGGTTGGCAGAGTCCATGGTTTAGCAGCTTGATGTGCTGACAAACTTTTCCTTTATAAGTTTTTGTCTCTTCCAGTTGCTCATGATATTCCCCTACAATTTGGATAGTTGGTTGGTAGCCTTTTCCGTCTTCTAGCAATAATGCAGCCTGATTATCTACTGCAGTCAGGGGTCATTTCCTGCAGGAGCGCACAGGAGCAGAGCTCTGGAAGTAAAGAGCCCAGGGGGCAGGCACATGCAACAAGCCCCACCCCCTGCTCCCAGCAGCCCTCAGTCAGAGCAAGAAGCAGCCAGGTAAATTGCAGAGCCCCCCCGGCCCCCGGGTCCAAAACAGTCCAGTGGCACCTTTAAGACCAAGTTTTATTCAGGTGCAAGCTCTCCCTCCTCTGTGAGAGCAGATCTGCATGTTCCCCCCTCCAATAGCTAGCAATCCAAAACAGTCCAGTGGAGCCTGAGCGGTGAGTGTTGCCTTCTGACACACTTCCGGTGATGTCAGGGTGTGTGGCATATGCAAATAAGTTACGCTAATGAGTTATGCTAATGAGCTCCTGTACCTCTTTTTCTACGAAGTGACCCCTGACTGCAGTTACTAGTGCATCCCCCAAGTCCAAAGAAAGATTATAAATCATTCTGTCCCAAATCTCCTCACGTGTAAATTGGAGCTGATTGCTTTCTGAGGGGCTCCTCGAAGACATGTCCTCCAGCGTTTTACTTTCTAAATCCATTTTTTACGACTATTACAAAGGTTTCAGCAAAGCCCACAGTCACAGCTCTTTAGGTATGCAAAAGGGGTCTGTTCCCAGCACTAATGCATGACGTCATCAGAAATCGACGCACAGTAAGAGAATCAAATTCCAAATAACGCTCTTTCGTGATTTCTTTTTTTTAAAAAAAAAGGAGTTCGACAGTACTTTTATATAAGCTCAGACAGGAGTCTCTTTTTGTCCCAATGTAAAACTCGCTCAGATTTCTTTATGTAAATCGGCCTCTGTGGGGGAAGAGGGGGGGGGGTTCTTTCCCGATTCCTTTTGAGATTCAAAGAGACTTGAGCGGCAAGGCAAGCGCTTCTTCTGTGTTACGTTCACAGGTACTTACAGCATAATGGTATAGTAGCTTCACCGATAACGGGTGAGTTCCAAGGTGTCCACAGCTGAGAATGATGGCTGCCATAATCGTACTCTTCGTTCTTTGCTTCAGGACATTCCAGGTCTACGCCCACCTTTGCTGAAAAAGCGCCCGGATCGAGTCCTATGCGCCAGTCGTTCCTCCAGAAGGTCTGGTGGAGCTTCAGGCACTCCTGAAAACTCCTCTAAATAGAACAAAGAGCCAGTGACCCCCAGGAGAACTCAAGAGTGTCGACTGTGTTGCTGTGCGGCTAGCCCCGTCCCCCCTCGAGATTATTATTTGTATCAGGTATGTGGCAGAATGGGCCTCCTCCAGCCTCCAGCCTGCCCTCCAAGGTTTTCCCAACACCTGGAGATATATCTCTCTCTCAGGTAACCCGCCACCACTACCTGACTTTTATACGAATTGCCTGCTGGGAGGGACAGGACTCCCAGCTTCCCTTTGAAGTTCTATGGCCTTGCCCCTGTGTCTCCTGCTGCCCATCGTCTGGTCACCAAGGAGACAGTTTACTTCGTTGTGCACCCGTGAAGGAATAGCCGCTAGCCAACTGCCGGCCTTCCCCCGGCACTCCTTTTAAAATAGCATGTCCAAGACAGTGGAGGTCTGTGTGGTACAGAGAACCACTACCAGCATCAAAAGTTATACAGTATTTTTTTAAAATGTTCAGAAGCATACATTTAGCACAGGGACAGATTGAGCAAGGGATCCACAAGAAATGAGTAAAATGTCCTTCCCTCTATACATGCTCTGTCCTCTGTCCTTCCTTTTATACATGCCCTATCATATGTTAAAATATACGGCAGACTCCTTAGCTTAGGAAATTACAGATCTCTACAGAGTTACCATTACCTTGAAGTTTCCTTCAGCTCTCCTAGGCCAGCATATGGTCAATAGCTGCCTCTGCCAGACCACAGTTAAGAGTTCTGTCTGCTCTGGTGGACTTTGCACCCAAGAGTCCTTACTCCCTTAAATTTTATCACCTCTCTTTTCTCCACCACTGACCAGGTCAGGCTGGGTCAGAGATGATTTTCCTTAAGACTCCAGATTTTCCTTGCTGAAGTCTCTCTGGTAT